TTATTTTGGTTTTGAACTTGTTTGAAATGTTTGCATGTTAAGATATGCAGTTTTTCAGACAGTAACATTTTATTTCAGATAGCGTCATGAGGAATCTTCACATTGTGGTACTGATAGCTTCACTTGATTTTGGTAAGTTATATTTATACATTACAAAGTGTGGCCAAAGTTGTGGTTATTGATGATGACCTCGTCACTGTTATGAATTGTTTAATTTGTTTTTTAAAAACCCAACAGCATTTAAATCATGTTTCCCGTGCATTATTGCTTAACCAACAATTATACACACCTGCTTAAGATATATTGAAACAATGTGAATTTGCATAGAATAGTATAGTGTTGATAAATTTCCCAAAAAGGGATTTATCACTGAAGGGACTCTCTTACAGTGTAAAAAGCACATTGAAATTATTTAGGTTTATGATTATATTACGCAATGTTAAGTGCAAATTGTACTTGAGATATTCTTTGCTTCTAATTACACTAGATATGCATTTATTGAATATGTGTTCATCTTCTTGTCAATATGTTTTCAATTTGTTGCTTGACGGCGCTGTCACTTATATTCCTGCTATATAATAGTGATATGTAAATATTCAGTGGTTGATAGTGTGAGCACCGCCTCAAGCTATTGATCACCTCTTACGACAGGCATATTCATACAGGCTACTATTTGGGCGAGGGCGGGAGGTACCCTAGTAATTAAAGCGTCCTTTTGTCACGCCGAAGACCCGGGTTCGATTCCCCACATGGGTACAATGTGTGAAGCCCATTTCTGGTATCCCCCGCCGTGACATTGCTGGAATATTGCTAAAAGCGGCATAAAACGATACTCACTCACTATTTGGAGGTATTTGTTTCTGGAATCTACCCGGTAATTCTACATTTCTTCATTATGATAACAAGTCATTGTGTAGATATATGTGATCGGTGAGCAATATTAATGATGCAACCTGTATGTTCCTTTTCACGGACACCGGGTGTCATTGCTGACTTTAACTGTCCATTAATATATTTTTTTAAATCCACAATAATCCGTTTCGATGGAAAACATAACTGGTATTGATGTTATATGCATGCTAGTAAGAACGAAGGGGATATTCTATTGTGTAGTGATATTATTTGGGAAGCAAGATGTATGACCGTATAGCCTACGGGATTTAGAAAACGATTATTCCGTTCACAATGTATTATGAATTTCGCGTGAACATGGTCTGCGTAAAATTCATAATTTCACCTTAAAACGTGTCAGTGTGTTGCTGTCCATTTCAGTGATAAAACCAGACTCTGATATTGCTTAAAACCAAATTAAATGTTTGGGAATGCATCATTTGTCACGTCATGAACGGTTGCATACAACTGACATGCTGGAAGTTTTCCGGAATAAGACAGAGTATTATGGTGCGAGCTGTCAGCGTTTCACAGTCAGTATTTGGTACATTACAAATGCGATGTCGACAAATAATGTTGATGGTAAACGTCAATCTGGTCGACAAAAGGCGACAATTGATGCAGAAGATCGTTTCATCATAACTAAACCGTGGTCAGAGTGCCTTTAATACTGGAGATGAGTTTCACAGAGCTACAGCTGTTAGAGTGGACATATGAGTTTGGCTACTATACACACATAGATGGAACCTGTATGCCCGACATCAACGTGGTATTCCACGATTGGTGGATCGTCACATTAGTGTATCGTTGGTGTCAAGGACGGCTTTGAGTAATCGTTGTTGGGCATAAATCATTGTTTACTTTGGATTTCTTAGTCACAACCATGGTTTCTCTCCACCTCGCATAAATCACTCACGCTCAGACCAGGTGGTGTAAATGGAATGAGCGGTTTCATGCCGTTGGGGGCTAACTGCCCCCCGGACAACTGCCCCCTATCCATTGTGCCCCCCGTCCATTGTGCCCCCCGGACAACTGCCCCCCATCATAACAAAAACACAAACTAAACGTAATAGTTTTAAATTTCTTCATATATTTAATGTTTATGGCACTATATAATACAACACCACATATCAATCTTCAGATTCACTTAGAACACATTTCTCACTTTAGCCACTTCTCCTTCTCTCAAGTCAGGTGCATGTGTGTGATCATGTAGACAACCAACTACTTCCCCGTCTTTAACTTTAGCCTTACACTGCGTCTTCTCTTCACACATTTATAAGAGTTAACTCCACCTTGCAACTCTTTCTGGTGAAACATACAAGAATCCCTCTAACTTATCCTTCCCTCTCTGATTTGGAATCCACTCCATGGTTGTGAAATGACTGACAGGACACAGTTTCCTAGATAGCCAGCTTATTAGGGGTCTAGAACAAATGCCACCCGGACAAAAACCACCCGGACAAATGCCACCCGGACGAAAGCCACCCGGAATGGAATAAGTGGAATCCAAGTTTGACAGCTTGGTCTGCCATTTCGTTGCCATGGACTCCGATATGTGACGGGACCGAGAAAAAATGTATTTGATTATTTTTATTTGGGTGTTATAGTATTCTTCTGTATATGTTATTTACATACAATCGTTAAAATTAATCCTCCTTGCTTACATCTTATCATTACATCTACTCTTAATGCTACTCCGACAGGCTAAGTAGTTTTGTTAACCAAAGGATTTATTCTATTTATCTCCCCATGTGCTTAGTTAGCCTTATTTTCAAAACAATGCTATTATAACAGGCTTCTCACCAAATTCAAGGTCAAACCATTTCTAAATCATATTTTACATCTATTTACGTTAACATTTTTGAAAAGTCAACATTACTATGAAATCAAAATTTTACATCAAAATCAACTTTTTTAGCAAAGTGAATATTTTTTTAAGAAACCAAATTATTCATCGAAGTCTACATAACTTTACATCAAAATCAACATTTTTTCAAAGTGAATATTTTTTTATAAGAAACCAAATTATTCATCGAAGTCTACATAATTTTACAACAAAATCAACATTAATGTCAAGAAGGGTGGTGATTGTCCTCTCAGTAATGGTAAAATAACTGGGTGGCTTTTGTCCTAAGTGGCATTTGTCCTAGGTGGCATTTGTCCTAGGTGGCATTTGTCCGGGTGGCTTTTGTCCAGGTGGTTTTTGTCCGGGTGGCATTTGTCCAGGTGGTTTTTGTCCGGGTGGCTTTTGTCGTGCTCCCCTTTGTACTTAAGGCACTGTTTGTTGATATACTGTAATTAAGTTGTTATCCTAATTAAGTTGTTATCTTAATCACAACTCAACACATTGTTGTGTTAATGGATTTAATTTAAGATTGATTTTAATAAAAACAATCCTATCAAGATGGGGGAGGTGTGTGTGTGTGTGTGGGGGCACTTTTACTTTTCATGGGGGCACTTCTCCTAGGGGGCAGTTGTCCGGTGGGCACGGTGGACGGGGGCCAGATAGCCAGAGGGCAGTTGTCGGGGGGCACTTGTCCGGGGGGCAGTTAGCCTGATACCATGCCGTTGGTGTTAGTGCTACCATGACATCATCCTGGAGACACACGTGGTGTCATATGCGCTGGTCATATGGACCTGGTTTGGTGTTTCAGGATGACTACGAAAAGCACACAGTATTCGTATAATTACTGAGTACCTCAAACAGGAAAACATAACCACCTTACCATGGCCACACTCTGTCCAGACATGTCACTCATCGAACACGTCTGGGATATGTTTGGACTCCATCAAGCCATCGACCTTTCTCAACAAACTTGGCGCTGTCTTGCAGCAAGAAAGGGATGTAATGAGTCAAATGGACACTATGCGTATGCCTCGTCGAATCCGTGATTGTACCTTTAAGTCTTTGTTCAGTATTGGAGGCCTCGTGGCCCAGATTACAAACTGTTGAAATACAAATTTCTGTGTGGAATGCTTACTGCTTACAAGTTATTTCTGATAAGTACAATGGTAATACATGTAGAAATAGTTATATTGTACAAGAAATGATAATTCGGTTTATATAACACATGAAATCATGTTACTGCAAAATATGGGATTGTGTTTACAATCGAGGAGGATTCATGCAATATCACCAAATATATGGTTGTTGTCTTACGCCGCACTCAGCAAGGTTCCAGCTATATGGCGGCACTCTGTAAATAATCGAGTCTGGGCCAGACAATCCAGTGATCAACAACATGAGCATCGATATACGCAATTTGGAACCGATGACATGTGTTAACCAAGTCAGCGAGCCTGACCACACGATCCCGTTAGTAGCTTCCTACGACAAGCATGGGTTACTGAAGACCAATTCCAGGCCTACCAAGAAAACTTTCCCACTGTGCAGAATAACGCAGAAAAGCCTACATTACTTGTGGAAATAGCAACATAAACATAATACCTCGCTACTGAAACAGTGAAAACGGCAACGAAAGACTAGAAACTGCATTATTTTTATATCAGCGAACTTTAATCTCTACTGCGCATGCGCATTACGATCCGCGCTTCTTTCCAATTTCAGGGGCGGTGGTGTAGTCTAGTGGTTAAAGCGTTGGCTCGTCGCTCCGAAGACGTGTCCCCACATGGGTACAATGTGTGAAGCCCATTTTTGTTGCCCCCCGCCGTGATGTTGCTGGAATATTGCTAAAAGCGGCGTAAAACCAAACTCAGTCAGTCAGTCTTTCCAATTTCCGAGCAGCCGTGAATCGCCTCGCGTAGAAAAAGTATTAAATGTGTCGAAATAATTGCTCTCAATCATTTCATACGAATAGAAAGTAAACTAACCAAGTGTGCACACAAGTACCATGATGATAAATGCAAAATAACACAACAGAAATAGTTCAAAAGGGAATGTAACTTTTGTCCAAGCTGGAAAATGTCATAAGGTCGAGACTTCCTCTTCCATGTGCGCATGCGCAAAATCGAAGTTTCAGGCTCTTCGATTTTTGATGCAGTTTTAGCGATTTAAAGTTGCCGTTTTTACTGTTTCTGTAGCGAGGTATTATGTTTATGTTGCTATTTCCACTATTAATGTGGGGTTTTCTGCGTTTTCCTGCACGATGGGAAAGTTTTCTTTGGTAGGCCTGGATTCTAACCCGTATCTTAAAGGTGCGTGTCCAACTTGGTGAAGGGATGATATAATCCAGGATCCCTTTCGATTAAGTAGAATATTTTTAGCGTCCTTCACATTTCGGATAGCTAAATGATGATATAATTTCTATGCACATGTATACCCATGTTCTTGTAATTGCAGAAACTCCTTTTAAATGCAAAATGTTCCTTTGACCCTTTGATAACCGTTTCTTACCGATTTAGCTGATGCAACGTTTGACTGTCGTCGTCCTAACCAGGCCTGCATGAACGGCGGCAGCTGCACCTTCATCTCCGCCGACTGCGCCTGTGACCCAGCCTACAGTGGATATGACTGCGGTCTGACACTAGGTAGGTGTATGGCCACCCTACTGGTTAGATATCAATCAGTTACGCAATGGAGAGTAGCAGTCCGACTCTCCACAGTTCCACCAAAAGGTGGCTGATCACAGCTACCCTTTGAATACATGAAAATAGATTTAAAATTCAAAAACATCGTTTTTTGTCCTTCACATGCTAGTATTGTTGCAGCCAGCGTAAAACAGTCGTGTTATCCGTATTTCGAGACAGGGGTATATTTGTTTTCTTTATTGAAAATAGCCGTTTAAGTTTAAACAGATTAGGCCATTCATTGAAATAACTAATATACATCATCCGCTGTTTGAGAACAGCTTCACATTTAAAAGGGTAATGGAATTCGTCCCCAACAGGCGGAGAATTGCAAAGTTTACAGCTTCTGTTTTCTCTAAGAATGTTGTACCAGCGTCCTGCTCTATCGATAAATTGTGATTTGATAACTTAAATGTTAAGTTTGGAACATGTATAGGTTTGGGAAGGAAAAGGTATTTTTCAAGGCATACATTTCATGTTTGTCCTCATCGTCTCCTATCTACAAATGATGTGACAATGGACAAAGAACTTTTTCTCCAGACTGCTGTGATTTCCGAGTCGATTTGTGGTGGTCAGGGTTTCCAGAAATATAACTGTGGTCCTAACCAATGTAAATTGCTACGTTATAAATGTTTAAAAGCGCTACTTAAGTGTAATAACCGGTATCATAACAGTCTATCTTGTCCAAACAAATGCATTTTATCAGCATATACTTTGTACGTGCATCATAACTTTGGTGTTCTCTATTTCAATAAAGGCTTAATGAGATTTCATGAAATCCCTGACCTAATAGTTCAGTAATTTCATGAAATCCCTGGAAATTTTAGGGAATGCATGAAATCCCTGGGGGTCACAGTGATTACACGAAATCACTGACTGTTTTAGGGATTACGTGAAATCCCTGGTTTCACACATTCCCTGTAACATATACAAATAGAGAATCTACTAGAACAACAGAAACTTCAGATCGTCAATTCTGGCATTCTTCTTAAACCTTGATAGACATTCTACAGCCGGAAAACAGTGGACATGAATCTTTTTCCTTGGTTATAATTTTTTTTTGAATTCTTCGCAGTGGGGGAACTTGGCTACTTCAGTTAATCCCATTTCCTTCCTCGTCATATTTGTCGGTTAATCACTCCTTGCACAAACATCCTTGTGTGTATGTGTATTTACTAGATCGCCTAATCTGTACTATTCTGATGAAGGGGCACAAAACAGCCCTGAAACGTCTTTACAAAGAATAGATAAGTTCTCTTCCATTAAAAAAACATTCATGTTTTCTTCCAGCATTAATCCGATAATAATAAGGCCACTTATTATAGCAGACCGCCTCCGTGGTGTAGTGGTTAGAGCGTCCGCCCGGAGTGCGGAAGGTCGCGGGTTCGATCCCCGACCGCGTCATACCAAAAGACGTTAAAATATGGTACTTGTTGGTACCTGCCTGGCGCTCTCCATTAATGGGTACAACAAGGACTGGTCGGCTCGGAGTCAGTATAATGTGTCTGAGTGGGGTATTCATGCTTCACTGCGGCATGGTATCTCAGTGGGCTCGCATTATAAAACCAGCTTCAGTCTGGGCTAGTACAAGCAGCCGCACATACACATACACACGCATGCACGTCGTCATATGAGCGAAATATTCTCAAGCACGATGTTAAACCCAATTCCACCACCACCACTTATTATAGCCCCGACCTCCATGCCGCATGGGCGTGTTCTCAGCACATACAACATACCGGGAATTCACGTATTTCGGCCCACACGAAATTTAGCCCATGGGCTTAAATTGGGATGTAATTCTTGGGTGTTCAGAGTGACGTCCCTTTAAAAACGCATGGCGATCCTCGACATTTTTTAACATTAGTTGGGCCTCTGTGAGGTTATCACGCTTACAGAACATTTTGGACACCGGTTACAGGACAGTTGTAAATGACAAAAATTGATCATCTTAACCCCTATGATGTGCATGCAGTTGCAGTTAAATTGAACCATGTGGTCATTCAATTTTTAATTTATAGACCAGTTTCCTGATAAAAGAGTTTTTTTAAAAAGCGATTCTTTTTATTTCATCAACATATTGCGCATTTTCGAATTTAAGCCCTTGGCTTAAATATGGTTAAAATACGCCATCACTAGAACAGTGATTTTCCGTGTTTAAGCCCAGGGCTTAAATACGGGAATTCCCGGTATGGACATAATTTGCCCGGAGAACGCAAGGTACACACGAGAGAACTGAACTAAATTTTATCTGAAACATATAGAGATATACAGTAAATTGATAGGTGTATGTTTATACTAATAATATATTCAGCATATATTTCTTTAGTTTGATTCGTTTTCGCTTTTCGTTGTTAGCTGACGTTGATCAAAACAGCTGCACGCCAACAACGTGTCTGAACGGAGGCACCTGCTACGACGACGGTACCGGAGCCAAATGCTACTGCGACAGCGAACACTACGGAAATACGTGTGAAAAGAATCGATGTAAGAAATATACATAAACCTTCTGTCTACACTGCTCCGAAAGGAAGGATAAAATCTTCATATATAACTTTGAGCGGAAATTATTGATTCTTCTATTACATTCTAAAATGTCATAACAGAAAAGTTTAATTTCAGCCTTTAAATAATTTCAATGACATCAAATTCATAACAGCACGCAAAGTAACCTTGATTATCAATAAAGCAGATCATTTCGAACACCGAACACGGCAGTTTAATTTCCAAACAATCTTTTAAAACAAATATTCGGCTCTAATCTGTTTGATATTTGTATGGACAGTGAGTGAGTGAGTTTAGTTTTACGTCGCACTCAGCAATATTCGAGCAATATGTCAGCTTTTTTGCAAATAATTGAGTTTGGACCAGGCAGTCCAGTGATCAACAGCATGAGCATCATTCTACGCAATTGGGAACCCTATCCCGTGAGTCGCCTCTTACAAGTATGGGTTACCGAAGATCAATTCTAACACGGATCTTCACTGGTTGCACATTTGAAGAATTCGACAGGAATTATATCCAAGTGATGCTTCATTGGGTTATTTCTTTTCAGTCTCCCTGACCTGCGTAGCGGACCTGATGATCATAGGGGTCAACCCATACAGTGCTGCTGGTTACGAGGCTTTCGTGGAGGACAAACAGGGCGTGACTGGTTGTGACTCCCAGGCAGTGCCGGCTCCAGTAGACACGTTCGACAAGATCCCTGACAGCTGGGAGGGGCATTACATCCAAGTGGAACATGACAGTGCAGCATGCGGCCCCAGTGTGCCGATGATTGTAAGTACATACCCGGGTGTAAGTCTTACAGCATCACAGAAGGAACGTGACAGAGTGAGTGAGTGAGTAAGTATTACGCCGCCTGCACCATTTTAGCAATATCACAGCGGGGGACACCAGAAATTGCACACTCCGGCACAGCGATGACTAACATAACATCACTGCCACAGGCTAATTTGCATATCACGTGACCGGACTTTTCTCTTGTTTGTAAACAAACGCGCATATTCATAATAAGAAGAGACTGGACTCACGAAAGCTTTTCGGTGCTCTCTTCATAATGTTTTACATTGTTACATATATATTCTTCCACAACTGCGACAGTTAGGTCTATGACAGTACATATTTAGATATCAAACTGGCTGCATCGTTTGCTCTCCATATCATCAGCTTCGATGACAGCACGTGGAGCCGTACAACCTATGTAAACAAAGAATCGCTACGCAAATCGAAATAGTGTTACATGTTTTTGGATATTTTCTCTGTGAAACTAAACCATTCTATTAAAGATGTATAGTTAGATGTGTAGACTCGTCAAAAATAAAAGAGTAAAATAATTCTGGACATTATATTGAATGGACATTGCAAGATGTGACGAATCGTCACATTTTTCTGGCCTGTGGCAGAGGTACTATGCTGGCTTGCCGCATGGAACTCTGGGTAGGAGAGTGCAGAAACAGTTTCTGCCCACGTGGGGAGTCGAACCTGGGACTTTCGGCATGGACGAGCGAATGCTATAACAACTCGGCTACCCCACCGCCTCTTACGGAAAGTAGCATGGGTGAGTGAGTGAGTGTGTGTATTAACCTAATAACGCCTCACAGACAGTACGCACATGGTATAGTCTAAAGTACAATCGACTCTGCTGTCAGCAGAGCGTTGTTGTGGATGTGGAGTTTTTGCCGCATTTGTTTATATACTCGCCAGGAAGTAGATAATGAAATCGAGTACACACTGGTCCATTGGCAGGGTATTGATAAGGTACTCGAATTTAGTACTTAACAGGTGGACTATTATTTCTAGTATATTGTGTCACTACCCGTGAAGATCCGGGTTGGAAATGATCTTCAGTGCATGTTTGTCATAAGAAGCGACTAACGGGATCGGGTGGTCAGGCTCGCTGATTTTGATGACACATGTCATTGTATCCCAATTGCGTAGATCGATGCTCATGCTGTTGATCACTGGATTGTCTGGTCCAGGCTCGATTATTTACAGACGGATGGCATATATCTCTAATATTGCTAAATGCGGAGTTAAACAACTAACAAATTATTGCGTCACATTGGGTGAAATAACCAGTTCGGTGCAGCATTCATTAAACATCAACCACTCTCTTGTACAGGCCCGTTTTAAGTATAGATTACCAGTCTGTAAGAGTAAAAGTGGAACAAATAACGTTTCCAGTGAAGTGTTTTACATTTAACAAATCGTTCACAGCAATGATATTTGTTAAAAATTTGCAGACCACAGGAAGAAAAGAATTCGACCGTGTTGTGGTGGTCAAATACAGCCCGAATGTGCTGACCGATATAGACGACCGCTACCACGTTAAGTGTATTCTAGAGGACAATGTAGTAGTGGAAAGCAGAGTCGTCAAGATCAACGTCACGGGCGTGTAAGTATGTGTAGAATACACCGTCACGGGCATGTAATATGTGTAGCACAAATTTACGGGCATGTACGTAAGTTCAACGTAAAGTCCTGGGCGTGTAAATATCACCCTTCAGAAAATGGGTACCCGGTGGAATAAGTCATGAAACTATCAACCTTCTAGCGTCTCGCAGGTAGCTTGGGTAAGCCGGGGTAATAATGATCAGGATGTATGTTAGTGCCTCTTCGTGGTGCGTAATTCAGGGCATTACAAAAACCGTTATTATTATTATTATTATCATCATTATTATTATATATGTAGAATATACCATCTCAGGTGATTATACGTGGCAAAGAAACACAAGGGCATATAAATTTTGTTGTTAAAATACAAAGTCGCATGCGTAAAAAGTATTGCATTGGCGTTTAATCTCACAACTCCAGTCTTTTAAAATTAAATTTTAATTTCATGAATTCATGAAGTGGTTCAATAAAATGATTTGAGACATTTTCGAATTGAAATCTAAAGCATATGAGGACACAAAAGGAACTCATGAAGTTCGCAAGGTCATTCATCTTTTCTATTTTGCTTAAACTTTTATCCGAACACATCATGAAATCAGGTAACGTCTCACAAGTCCATTAATGATCACAGAATACCCGATTTGACGTCATTTCCTATTGTACGTAGATGTAATATTAGGGAAAATATTGTTTTGCATTTGTTTGTGGTGGCTTTGTTCGAATAAAGAATTATACCATGTGCTTCTAATTCCAAATTGCCAGGGTGAGTCAGCACGTCGTGTCCAGAGAGGATATTGCCAAAGCGGTGGACTTCTATCTGTTGGCTGGCGCCGGCGGTGGTATCTACAACGGTGATCCTCTTGACGTCGGGACTGAACTTCGATTTGTGTTTGGCATCCAAGGAGGTAGTTATTACAAAGATACATGTTTAACGAGGTGTGACGATGAACACTTTTTATGGATAGACAATTTCTTTATTGCAATAGATGCAAGTGCTTGATCATACCAGCTTCTAAATGCGCCTTAAAGACGTCATTGACGTTACTGGTTACTGTTGACACTGAATTGCCCTAAAGGAGGTATTATTTATTAAATTTAAAATGCCAATATATTGATATATGTAAAATCCGTCACAATTAAATTCTGAAAAATGGTGTCCTCCCATTACGCAGACAGCCAGTTCGCAGACACCTTAAAACAACAACATTTACGGTTCAGTGAACAGATTATCTACTATCTGTTACCTACACATTATAATGGAATAGTCCAAATAAAATCTCAGGAACAAACTGAAGCTTTATTATTTAATTTGAAAGCTGGACGAAAAGACAGTAATTTAAATTTTTATTGCTGCAATATGAAAACAGTTTATTTTCATAAACATTTCGGTTTAACCTTCTAGTCTAAGGGAGTCGGCATCATCATATTGAAAACATTAGCTTAGCTATTTGAAATTGCGACACTGTTGTATCATATAAATCAAATAAAGACAATTGTGAACTATTATTCATATGGAATACAGAAGTTATATGTTTTGCACACAATATTAAGATATATGACGAGTGCACTCAATAACGATTTATTTAGAATAAATATTTCAAATATGACGCATCATGTCAATGTGGCCATGGATGTGAGAATGTTTTTCATTACTTCCTTGAATGAACTCTTTTCACACTTACTGTGTTTTTAACGATGTATGCAGCGCTGTTGAGCATCTGTGATGGAAACTAGGCGCTCTTCAAGCCAATCATTATTATTATGTCCATTGTATACTACTCAAAGACATAAACTGTTACAATCTTTAGAAAGTATTGTTAAAATTAGAACACTGCTTGGTATTAATCGTATCTTACATGGCAATGCAAGTGTCTCATTTACTGCAAATCAGAAATGTTTTCAAATATGTACATATCTATATCTCTCCAACAAAACGTTTTCTCAGTTAACTTCTGTTGTACATATGCTATTATTGGGAGGGGCCTTTTCTATCAATAAACACAATCAAACCTCTCAGTGACAAACCTGTTTTTATATTCAATAGTAATTGATAGTAAAATCAATTTTGAGAAGAGATATCATTTATCATTTAATCACAACAAAGTTCTATTTACCCACAATCAAACTTCTCAGTAACGAACCTGTTTCAGGCTCACCCTGCTCTACTCACTAGACAGTGGACTGTTCCATTATACCCGTAGGTCTTACCCTAATTAACCTACTAGTTCAGTGTCTGTCAATTGGGTGTCTGTCAAATGGGAGATAACCTGAAAATGATAGATGCAAGGTATTTAGTGTCTCCAACGACACAAAGACACTGAAGCTTATAGAAGCGATGTAGGTAGTGTCTTCAACGACACGAAGACGCTGAAGCTGATAGAGTCAAGGTAGGTAGTGTCTCCAACGACACAAAGACACTGAAGCTGATAGAGGCAAGGTAGGTAGTGTCTTCAACGACACGAAGACACTGAAGCTGAAAGAAGCAAGGTATTTAGTGTCTCCAACGACACAAAGACACTGAAGCTGATTGAAGCGATGTAGGTAGTGTCTTCAACGACACGAAGACGCTGAAGCTGATAGAAGCAAGGTAGGTAGTGTCTTCAACGACACAAAGACGCTATAGCTGATAGAAGCGATGTAGGTAGTGTCTTCAACGACACGAAGACGCTGAAGCTGATAGAGTCAAGGTAGGTAGTGTCTTCAACGACACGAAGACACTGAAGCTGATAGAAGCAAGGTATTTAGTGTATCCAACGACACAAAGACACTGAAGCTGATAGAAGCGATGTAGGTAGTGTCTTCAACGACACGAAGACGCTGAAGCTGATAGAAGCAAGGTAGGTAGTGTCTTCAACGACACAAAGACGCTATAGCTGATAGAAGCGATGTAGGTAGTGTCTTCAACGACACGAAGACGCTGAAGCTGATAGAGTCAAGGTAGGTAGTGTCTTCAACGACACGAAGACGCTGAAGCTGATAGAAGCAAGGTATTTAGTGTATCCAACGACACAAAGACACTGAAGCTGATAGAAGCGATGTAGGTAGTGTCTTCAACGACACAAAGACGCTAAAGCTGATAGAAGCAAGGTAGGTAGTGTCTTCAACGACACAAAGACGCTATAGCTGATAGAAGCGAGGTAGGTAGTGTCTTCAACGACACGAAGACACGGAAGCTGATAGAAGCAAAGTAGGTAGTGTCTCCAACGACACAAAGACACTGAAGCTGATAGAGGCAAGGTAGGTAGTGTCTTCAACGACACGAAGACACTGAAGCATACAGAAGCAAGGTATTTAGTGTCTCCAACGACACAAAGACACTGAAGCTGATTGAAGCGATGTAGGTAGTGTCTTCAACGACACAAAGACGCTATAGCTGATAGAAGCGATGCAGGTAGTGTCTTCAACGACACGAAGACACTGAAGCTGATAGAGTCAAGGTAGGTAGTGTCTTCAACGACACGCAGACACTGAAGCTGATAGAAGCAAGGTATTTAGTGTCTCCAACGACACAAAGACACTGAAGCTTATAGAAGCGATGTAGGTAGTGTCTTCAACGACACGAAGACGCTGAAGCTGATAGAGTCAAGGTAGGTAGTGTCTCCAACGACACAAAGACACTGAAGCTGATAGAGGCAAGGTAGGTAGTGTCTTCAACGACACGAAGACACTGAAGCTGAAAGAAGCAAGGCATATAGTGTCTCCAACGACACAAAAGACACTGAAGCTGATTGAGAAGCGATGTAGGTAGTGTCTTCAACGACACGAAGACGCTGAAGCTGATAGAAGCAAGGTAGGTAGTGTCTTCAACGACACAAAGACGCTATAGCTGATAGAAGCGATGTAGGTAGTGTCTTCAACGACACGAAGACGCTGAAGCTGATAGAGTCAAGGTAGGTAGTGTCTTCAACGACACGCAGACACTGAAGCTGATAGAAGCAAGGTATTTAGTGTATCCAACGACACAAAGACACTGAAGCTGATAGAAGCGATGTAGGTAGTGTCTTCAACGACACGAAGACGCTGAAGCTGATAGAAGCAAGGTAGGTAGTGTCTTCAACGACACGAAGACGCTGAAGCTGATAGAGTCAAGGTAGGTAGTGTGTCTCCAACGACACACAAAGACACTGAAGCTGATAGAGTCAAGGTAGGTAGTGTCTTCAACGACACGAAGACACTGAAGCTGAAAGAAGCAAGGTATATAGTGTCTCCAACGACACAAAGACACTGAAGCTGATTGAAGCGATGTAGGTAGTGTCTTCAACGACACGAAGACGCTGAAGCTGATAGAAGCAAGGTAGGTAGTGTCTTCAACGACACAAAGACGCTATAGCTGATAGAAGCGAGGTAGGTAGTGTCTTCAACGACACGAAGACGCTGAAGCTGATAGAGTCAAGGTAGGTAGTGTCTTCAACGACACGCAGACACTGAAGCTGATAGAAGCAAGGCATTTAGTGTATCCAACGACACAAAGACACTGAAGCTGATAGAAGCGATGTAGGTAGTGTCTTCAACGACACGAAGACGCTGAAGCTGATAGAAGCAAGGTAGGTAGTGTCTTCAACGACACAAAGACGCTCTAGCTGATAGAAGCGATGTAGGTAGTGTCTTCAACGACACGAAGACACTGAAGCCGATAGAGTCAAGGTAGGTAGTGTCTTCAACGACACGAAGACGCTGAAGCTGATAGAAGCAAGGTATTTAGTGTATCCAACGACACAAAGACACTGAAGCTGATAGAAGCGATGTAGGTAGTGTCTTCAACGACACAAAGACGCTAAAGCTGATAGAAGCAAGGTAGGTAGTGTCTTCAACGACACAAAGACGCTATAGCTGATAGAAGCGAGGTAGGTAGTGTCTTCAACGACACGAAGACACGGAAGCTGATAGAAGCAAGTAGGTAGTGTCTCCAACGACACAAAAAGACACTGAAGCTGATAGAGGCAAGGTAGGTAGTGTCTTCAACGACACGAAGACACTGAAGCTGAAAGAAGCAAGGCATTTAGTGTCTCCAACGACACAAAGACACTGAAGCTGATTGAAGCGATGTAGGTAGTGTCTTCAACGACACAAAGACGCTCTAGCTAATAGAAGCGATGTAGGTAGTGTCTTCAACGACACGAAGACACCGAAGCTGATAGAGTCAAGGTAGGTAGTGTCTTCAACGACACGCAGACACTGAAGCTGATAGAAGCAGGTATTTAGTGTCCCAAGACAACAAAGTCTGATAGAAGCGATGTAGGTAGTGGCCTTCAACGACAACGAAGACGCTGAAGCTGATAGAGTCAAGGTAGGTAGTGTCTCCAACGACACGTTAATAACTGAAGCCGATAGAGTCAAGGTAGGTAGTGTCTTCAACGACACGAAGACGCTGAAGCTGATAGAAGCAAGGTAGGTAGTGTCTTCAACGACACAAAGACGCCATAGCTGATAGAAGCGATGTAGGTAGTGTCTTCAACGACACGAAGACGCTGAAGCTGATAGAGTCAAGGTAGGTAGTGTCTTCAACGACACGAAGACACTGAAGCTGATAGAAGCAAGGCATTTAGTGCATCCAACGACACAAAGACACTGAAGCTGATAGAAGCGATGTAGGTAGTGTCTTCAACGACAAAGACGCCTGAAGCTGATAGAGTCAAGGTAGGTAGTGTCTTCAACGACACAAAGACGCTATAGCTGATAGAAGCGAGGTAGGTAGTGTCTTCAACGACACGAAGACACGGAAGCTGATAGAAGCAAGGTAGGTAGTGTCTCCAATGACACAAAGACGCTGAAGCTGATATAAGCAAAGCAGGTAGTATCTTCAACGACACAAAGACGCTATAGCTGATAGAAGCGAGGTAGGTAGTGTCTTCAACGACACGAAGACACGGAAGCCGATAGAAGCAAGGTAGGTAGTGTCTTCAAC